CGCCCGTGCGTGTGCTACTGGCCGGGAATCGAGTTAACCTATGGAGCGACGCCCCCTCGGCGAAGGAGAGGAATGCCCGGCCACATTCTCGAGGGGTGCGGGCGTGCGTGCGTGCGTGAGGGCGGAATCGTGCTGGGAAGTCCTTTTCTCGAATTTTATTTATATGTTGGAGCATTTCGGCAATAGGCTGATGTAAAGGTTGATGTGTTTGTACACGCACATGCACAAACGCACACACACGCACGCACGCACGCACGCACGCACACACGCACGCACGCACGCACGCACGCACGCACGCACACACACACACGCACACACACACACACACACACACACACACACACACACACACACACACACACACACACACACACACACACACACACACACAACAAACAAACAAAAACATCCACGTGTATATACACATACGACATGCATACATAAATACATATACACATATAATATACATCCATACATACATACAACCTTCATGCAAACAAAAAAGAAAAGACAACGTAAAAAAAAACAACAACATCAACTTGCACGAAAAGTAACCGCACTATTTACACATTTATTTCCGCATTAAAAAGCAAAGTGAAACACGTGTTAAAAAAAAAAAAAAAAAAAAGAGAGAGAAGCAGCTGTATTTACGACGTGTAAAAAAGTATATAAGGGCGTAGGGATACACCAGGGAACATACGCAGGCGATAATGAACCTTATTCGTAGGTACATTGAGGTCAATATTCCCGTACAGAATATCCGTCTCCTTGCCTCTATAAAATCATACATCAAAATTTGCTTCATCTTATCCGCGTCTGTTTTATTTTCTTCGTTTTTTGGGGGTGTTTTCTTTTCCTCCTTTTTTGGGGTGTTTTATTTTCCTCCTTTTTTGGGGGTTGTTTTATTTTCCTCCTTTTTTGTTGTTTTTTTTATTTTCCTCCTTTTTTGGGGGGTGTTTTATTTTCCTCTTTTTTTGGGGTGTTTTATTTTCCTCCTTTTTTTGGGGTGTTTTATTTTCCTCCTTTTTTGGGGGTGTTTTATTTTCCTCGTTTTTTTGGGGGTGTTTTATTTTCCTCGTTTTTTGGGGTGTTTTATTTTCCTCGTTTTTTGGAGGGGTGTTTTATTTTCTTCGTTTTTGGGTGTCGTTTTGGGTGTTTTTTTTCTCGTTTTTTTGGGGTGTTTTATTTTCCTCGTTTTTTGGAGGGGTGTTTTATTTTCTTCGTTTTTGGGGTGTTTTCTTTTCCTCGTTTTTTTTTGTGGTATGTTGTGGCGGAGGGTGTTCCATGAGCCACATAAGGGGCTCTTTGCTTAGTCGAATAATATGTGGGAGATTTATCATCTTTGCTTAGTCGAATATTATAATATGTGGGAGATTTACCTTACCTTAAGTGTAAGTATATATGCATGTATATATGTATACATGGGTAAGTTTTAATCAATGCTTGGGGACATTGTTTTTGTTTTTCTCTCTTTGTCCTTTATGTCTGTCTGTCTCTCATTCGCTCTCTCTTTTTGAAAGAATGAGAGAGAAAGAAAAAAAGAATTCTTTCTTTCTTTCTCTGTCTTTCTTTCTTTTTTACTCTCTCTCGCTCCCCCTCCCCTTCCTCCCTCCCTCTCCTCCCTCTCTCCCCTCCTCCTTCCCTCCCTCCCTCCTCCTTCCTCCCCCTCCCCCCCCCTCCCTCTCCTCTATATACGTATATGCATAAACAGCGTATCCAAAAGGGGAGACGGATCTGTCCTCTATAAGTAAACAAGGTCCTGAAGAGGCCCTCCCTGGGGAATTTTTCTTCCCCCTTTGATGGTGCCATAGATTACCTGTCGCGGGGCAGAGGCGGGGTAGGTGAGGGTGGGGGTGAGGGTGGGGGTGAGGGGTGAGGGGTGAGGGGGAGGGGGTTGGGGGGGGAAGGAGGTAGAGAGGAGGCTTGGGAGATTGGGCGGTCTCCTCTTTCTTTTTTTTTTTTGTAAAAAAAAGAAAATGATGGTTCAAGCTCATCGGATTTGTGAAATGTTTGTAAATATACGTGTGTGTGTGTGTGAGAGAGAGAGAGAGAGAGAGTGAAAGAGAGTGTGATACATGTGTGTGTGTGTGTGAGAGAGAGAGTGTTTGTGAGTGTGATACGTGTGTGTGTGTGTGTTAGAGAGAGAGAGAGAGTGTGTGTGTGTTTGCGTGTGTGAGAGAGAGAGTGTATGTGTGTGAGTGAATGTGTGTGTGTCTATTTGTTCGTGTGTGTGTGTATGTGCGCGTGTGTTGTGTGTGTGTGTGCTGTGAATACCCCGTTTCGGGCTGTCCTGCGCTCGTGTGGATGCGGGTACGGGCGCAAGAGTGCGTTTTCAATTCACGCGAAGGAGTAATAGTCAGCGAGGGTAAATATTGGAGAGACAGATGAAACGCGTCGAAATCAGATGTATGTTTAGGGGGTACGAGGGGAGGATCCAGAGTGGGGGGGGGGGTGAGTGGGGGTTGAGGACCATGAGTGGGGGGAGAGGGGAAAGTGTGGGGGTTGAATACCAAGAATGGGGGTTTGAGGACCAAGATGGGGTGTTGGGGACCATGAGTGGGGGGGGGAGAATGAGTGGGGGTTGAGGATCATGAGTGGGGTGAGGGGAAAGTGTGGGGATTAAGGACGAAGGGTGGGGGTTGAGGGGAAAGTGGGGGTTGAATACCAAGAATGGGGGTTTGAGGACCAAGATGGGGTGTTGGGGACCATGAGTGGGGAGAGGGGAAAGTGTGGGTTGAGGACCAAGAGTGGGGGTGAGGGGAAAGTTGGGGTTGAGGGGAATGAGTAGTGGTGAAAGAATGTGTGGGGGATGAGGACGAAGAGTGAGAGTGAGGGGGAAGTGGGGATTGAGGAGAATGAGTGGGGGATGAGGACCAAGAGTGAGGGTGAGGAGAAAGTGGGGGTTGAGGACCAAGAGTGGGGGTTTAAGGACCAAGATGGGGTGTTGGGGACCCTGAGTGGGGTGAGGAGAAAGTGGGGATTGAGGGGAATGAATGGGGGATGGAGGCGAAGAGTGGGAGAGAGAAGAATGAGTGGGGGTTGAGGACGAAGAGTGGGGGGTGGGGGGGGGGGTCAAGGAAGCTCTTAGTGCGCGCGCCGCCGGCCAGCTCGTCCCGCTTGCAGGAAGGATGAAATATTCCCTGGATATTAAATAATCTTCCTGGCGCGGCCCGTAATATCTTGTATGTACTCAATCTCGGACCTACATATATTTTTCTGACAATTTGGACTAGGCCTAACTCCCCAAGAGGCCCAGTTCGGCGCCTGCTGACCCTCTCTCCCTCTCTCCCTCTCTCCCCTCTCCCCCTGTCTTCTCCACCTGCTACTCCTCCTCCTACTTGGACTCATCTTTTTCTTCTTATTATTATTTTCTTCTTCTGTTGTTGCTGCTGTTTCTACTGCTGCTCCTCCTCCTTCTTCCTTCCTGCTCTCCTCCTTCTCTTCTTTCTCCTTCTCCTCCTCTTCCTTTTTCCTCCTTCTCCTCTTACTCCTACTCCTCTTCCTCCTCCTTATTCCGTCTCCTTCTTCCTCCTTCTCCTCCTCTCTTCCTCCTTCTCCTCCTCTTACTCCACCACCTTCTCCTCCCTTTCTCCTCCTCCTCTCCTCCTCCTCCTCCTCTTCATTCCACCTCATCCTTCCTTCCTTCCTGCAGGGAGGAGACGGGGAAGGGGCATGAGAGGAGGGGGTGAGGGGGTGAGGGGGGTGAGGGGGAAGGATAGAAGTTCTGCCGCCAAGTATTAACATTGTGGAGAAGTTTGTCGTGAAGAACCTTAATTTTTATCTTGACTTAGTAACATACAGGATTCACACTCGGATTTAGGACTAACTTTTTACTTTCTCTTTGCAGTGCGTGTGTGTGTGTGCGTATATATGTATGTATATATATATATATATATATATATATATATATATATATATATATATATATATATATATGTGTGTGTGTGTGTGTGTGTGTGTGTGTGTGTGTGTGTGTGTGTGTGTGTGTGTGTGTGTGTGTGTGTGTGTATGTATGTATGTATGTATGTATGTATGTATGCATGTATATATGTATATATATTGTGTGTGTGGTTGTGTGTATGCATTTACATATTATATGTAGTTATATTTGTATAGCCAAACTCACACATATATGTTTATGTATATGTGCATATGTATATTATATATATATATATATATATATATATATATATAATATATATATATATATATATATATGTATATATATAATATTATATATATATATATATATATATATATATATATATATATATATATATATATATATTGCGACCCAAAACCTGGAGTAATATAACCAGCCGCAGTTACCCTCTGACCTCGCGCGAGCGGCGGAGGCGACCCGAGAAACCTCAGCCTCGCGCAGAGATCGAGCTCGGAGACACCGCAACTTGGCTCGAGTGAAGTGCGGTCTTTCCTTCCGTGTCTCTCGAGGGTGAGCTGCGAGGCGACGTTGGTGAGGGTCGAGGTCGAGGTTGAGGTCGAGGTCGAGGTTAAGGTCGAGGTCGAGGTCGAGGTCGAGGTCGAGGTTGAGGTCGAGGTCGAGGTCGAGGTCGAGGTTGTTTTCTCGCATTCTGATACAGACACACGGTCTCGTTCGCTCATCCGGACACTCATTTCTGAGGATGAAGGAGGCTAAAAATATCCGGTTGAAATGCAGTGTTATCTTTTTTTTTAGTTTAAAAATGATAATAATAAAATAAAAATAGCACAGAAAGAGGCAAAGACCTTGACTGCGGTGTTGTGCTTCTTCCCTTTCTTCTCTCTTCCTTCTCCTCTTACCCCACCACCTCGTCTTCTTCCTCTTACTCCACCTCCTCTTCTTCCTCTTCTTCCCTTCACCCTCCTCTTATTGCATCACCTCCTCCTCGTCCTCCTTCTTCCCTTCCCCCCTTCCCTCCTCCTCCTCTTACTGCACCACCTCCTCCTCGTCCTCCTTCTTCCTTCCTCCTCTCCTTCTTTCCTCCTCCTTTCTAGTAGACATGACCTCAAAAGTACAATTCAGAACCAGAGAAATACACTCGGGCATCGTCATCAAGCGATCTCCTCCCGAATGTGGTGTGGTACAAGGTCCGTATAAGCAAGGTCTATACAACCACTTATATAGCACGTATATAAGTACTCGGTGTGGTTGGGTATTGCGTGCGGCGTGTGGATGAGGGAGACCAGCCGCCGCACTTCACTCACGCAGTCCCGGATGAAGAGAGAGCAGAGCAGAGACGGGGAGGGGGGTGGGGGAGGGGTG